TTTTTATTCTAAAAAACTCTAATGTTATTTACACAACATACTGTTTTCCTGATTGCTGATTTTTAAGAAAATGATATAATTTGAGGGAGGGAACAAAATTATACCAGAGCATGAAGAATGTTAAAATCAATCTCTCTCCCTCTCTCCCCCTCTCTCTCCCTGTAAGATAGAAAGGAGATGAGGAAGACCCTCAACAAGAGTTGATACAGTGACTGTAACAATGGGATGGAGGAGATCCCATGAGGCTGGCACAGGACGGGGCAAGGTTCAAGTCTGCTGTTCACAGAGTCACAATCATTAGTAGTCGACTCAACGATACTTCAGAACAACAACAAATAAGATTATCTAGTTACTCTTTATTTTGCTTCATTTCACCTGAAAACTAAAAAAAAAAAACCAAAAACCACCAAAAAAAACAAACCACTGGGCATCCTCCACCATCATAGCTGCTCAGACATTGATTCGACAGACAACTCCTTCCCTCTTCATTGTGATTAATAATCATCGCCTGCAGTAGCTTCCAAGTCACAACATAAATAGTCAATCACCTGCAAATGTGCCTCTACTCAAACAGAGCAAATGCTGGAAATTAATAAACTACTTCAGTTATAGGAATGCATCAATTGTAAATTCCGATAAGGTGGCTCAGTGGTTAGGAACTGTACTGCCAAGCCAAAGGTACAAGGTTCAAAACCACCAGCTGCTCTGCAGGAGAAAGATGGACAATCTTCTCCAGTGTAATTTACTATTTCTAAAAACTCACTGGAAGATCAGCTATGAATTGGTTCCCACTGGACGGGATGCAACAACAATAATCATATGTCATTCTTGCATGCCCACAATTCAGTTCCATCTCATTGCAGCCCTGTATACAGAGCCAATCATCAAGGGTTTCTGTCCCACAGTGCACCTGGTAGATCTGAGCCACTGACCGGTTGGTTAGCATTCACACACTCACTGTTGTTGTTGTTGTTGTTGTTGTTGTTGTTATGTGCCGTCGAGTCGTTTCCGACTCATAGCGACCCTATGCACAACAGCCCTAAACCCTGCTCTGTCCTGCGCCAACCGCACCGCCTCTGACACACCCATCCCGATTACCCCAGTCACCGAATCAATCCATCTCATAGAGGGTCTTCCCCTCCTGCGTTGTCCCTCAACCCTCCCAAGCATGATGTCCCTCTCCTAGGGTCCCTAAAAGCCTAGACACAGCAAGTTCAGTGACAACATTTAAGCATACATTCCCTTTTTAATATTAAAAAAAATGGCCACAAAAGTGTTCCTTTATTAGAAGGTGCATAAACAGAAATATTATCAAGGCTTTTCCATGTGTGCATGGCTTCAGCCTACTTGCCAGTTCAGGATCTCCAATGCTTCATTCCCAAAGAGCGACAGCCCACACAATGCCTCAGGCGATAACCATGCCTGCAGTATCTGCTACATCTTCACTACTGGATTTCCTTCTGTGATGTACACCGGTTATACACTGGTAGTTTTAGAACTCTAACTGCCTGACTTAGCCTATGTCTCCTCTAGGTGTTACTTCCTTCACACCACCCTGTTCCTTTTCTAATCATGAAGAGGCAACAATTATAGTAACACAACCAATGCTGTTTAGAGGAGAAAAAAAAATATACAAACTACATCCACTATTTGATAGGATGCCTAGTTTGTCTTCATATTATCTTTACTATCCTTTCCCGTATCCCCTGTTATCATGCTATGAAGAGCACAAACTAACAAAAAAATCAACTGACTCTAGTTCCATTATTAAGTTTGTCACCAATAAGCTACCTAACCTTTTATATACTACAAACTTGTTCAGGCTCTGGGGTTTGCCATCTCTAAAAGTCAAGGTTCTTCTGCTCCATTTCAGGATGTGACATTCCACTGTGTTTCAGGGATGGTGTGCACAGAGTGGCAGATGTGCCCACAGACCCTGGAGCTGGGCAATGAAAGGTCTTCCCCTTCCAGTTTCCATTCTGCAGTATTGCAGCTTTAACAATCGGGGCCCTTTTCCCATTGATATTGTAAGTATCCCCGGTGCTTATCAGGTTTCCACATTACACATATTAGAGCCTGAACTAAGAAAAGGAGGCTGAGACACAGTCAATGTGTTGATGCTGAGATCTTAAATACAATCCCCGCCCTTCCCATCATAAACAAGCCTTAGTCTCTCTACCTAAGCCTCACACCTGGAGGAAGTTTGGTCCTCAGAAAGGGTGCCTTGGGGACAGAAATTCAGAGTACAGATTCTTTATCAAAACAAATTATTCCATTTCACCGCTTGATCATTTTTTACTCAGTTTGTCATTCACAAGTAAGTGGCTTCTAAGGGCTAGTAAGTTTCAAGAATAACGCAAATACTAACTTTATATAACATCAAACACTTCTTTTCAAATTGATTTCTTCAAATAGTTTGCTCACGCATATGTGTGTGTGTGTGTGTGTGTGTGTGTGTGTGTGTGTGTGTGTGTAGGAGTGTTAGCAAACCCTCTCCTTAAAAATCCAGCTAACAAATCCTCTCTGGAATGAAGACACTGAAGATGCTCTCTTGCTATATATAGTCTCATTCCATAGTATGTGAATCATGGTTGCTGACAGAAAATCAACAAATTAATCCTTTGACTTCGTTAGTAATGATAAATAGCTCAACTATCATTTTCCCAAAAGAGGTTTTCCACACATCAACATGCCCCTGCTTCTAAAGCCAGCCTTCACAGCAACCTGAAGTCTAGAGAGCACAGGGACACACATGCTGCCCTTGCAACATGCAAGGCAACTGGGCAAGTCTTCACAGGTCCTGCCATCTCTCTGCCAGATTATTACCGTGACATTTTAGCAGTAGGAAGTCACCAGTCAGTATTCTCTCTGCCAAGATGTGCACTAAGTAGATGAAAAAGAGGAGCAGATTAAACGTACACTGAAGAAAACAAACTCAGCAATTCCCTCAGATTTTCTATTTTCTAATGAGGCTGAGGAAAGGGCCACAGAAAGCAAACCAACAGTTCTGCCTTCCTATGCAAGATTAGGCCAAGCGGTTCCTCTCCCAAACAACACTAATGAAGATCAGGTGAATGGAACTTACCCATTCATGAATAGAACTCATCTATCATACTTATTCCCTCATTTTTAACTTGGGAAACTCAGTTAGATCTGCTCATAAACGTCACCTAATTATCCACCTAATTATCCCAGTTACAGGGCAAGAAGGCATTCCAGAGATAAGAAGTCACAATGAGTCTGGAGCCTTGAATTCCTCTCAGAACCTCTCATTATCAACTCATAGCTGACCTTCCAGCAGGTATTTTGGAGGCTGTAAATTGAACTGGAGGAGATTTCTTATCTTTCTCCCTTGGAGCAGCTGGTAGATTCAAACCACCTGCCTTTGGGTGGGCAGTGCAACTTCTTACTCATTAGGCTACCAGAACTCCCTGAGAAGGTCTTACCAGCCTAGAGAGAAGACGGCCTCCAAATGATCCCTGCACACCAAAATAAGGATGTTCTTTTTTCCTAATATTAACTACTTACTAGGGAGAGGTAAATTTATTTCTTGCATAATACTTCACTTTCTAAAACAGGCACTCTTTATTAATTTGATACAAAAGAGCAGACTTTAGTGGCTCTTGTCTTAAGTCACTACCAAATATATACATTCTTTTGATGTCTAACCAGTGGCCCCCATTTACCGCTTTAACAATCATCACAGAATAAGAAAATGAAACCCAATCTGGAGTGTATAATATGAGAACGAATGGCAAATAAAATAGATGGCTTGGTCATAAGGTCTGGCCTCAGCCTTCTGAGTTAACTCTTAGCCTTCTTTATCCAGATTTTGCAAACATTTTTACCCCAAGGAAGTTAGCACACATGGCTCGTTCCTGGAACTCAGGAGAACACAATTACCTGAGAAGTAAAGAGCTAAGCTAAACCAGTCAACCCATCACAGAACAGCTTCATAAATGGCATTTCTTTTCCTTGTTCACAATGAAAGTAGGAAATCTGTAGACTGCAAATGGACTGTGGCCATACCCACAAAATCTGGTGGAAGCAGACCTCTCCAGTTCAGATTTCTTTCTCTCAAACTGAGACAATGACCTAGCTTAAAGGTGGGGAATAACTCAGGGTATCAAATTACTCTTTGCAAAGAGAGATCAGTCACTTCAGTTTATGTCCAAAGACTCAGCTTCAGAAAGACCACACCATGAGAATCTCTGTTAAATGTGAAGTTTTCTTAACACACCCTGAGGCCAAATTAGAATGAGTTTGCTGTTCTCCTTGTATCTCCAAAGTGTGAGTATTCAGAGGGTGAAAACAACAGGGAAGAAATGTTAATGAGAAGAACTCTTGGAAATCATGAGGGCAGGTAGAGGAAGAAAATAGGGGGAAAAGGGGACTGTGTAAAAAGAAGTAAAAGGGGCCTCCAGGAAAGTGGAGAGGTGAGAAACTGAGATGTGTGAAAGATTCTCTATGGAACCATGTGTTGTTGGAAGAAGAGTTAGGAAAAGACAATGAATGTATCAGCTAAACGTCAACTGTATGTCAAGTACTAAACTAACTTTTGTGGGGATATAAGGAGAAAGCTTAATTTAACTTTAGATCCTCAGTGGGTAGTCCTGAGTCGTGGATGGATGGAAGGTCAGCTGAAAGAGAAAACAAAGGGAGAAATCAAAATAGAGACACAGGGAGAGGTAGAGAAAGAAGGGACTACTTTCAAAGGTTCTACAGGCGACTAGGGATGAAGTTCATCTAATACTTGTAGTGACTCTCCCCACTCAAACCAGAAGAGCATACAGGTACAAAGTGTTTTCCTCCATATGAGACAAAAAGTTGTTAACTGGCAACAAGAAAGGCTGAGGGGTATCTGGAAAGTAGGGGGGATGAGGAGTCAGAATGGGAAATGAGGATCCTAACTCCCAGTCCATGGAGGCCCCCAGATGTTTTGCAGAAGGAAAGAGCAGGTGTCAGCCTCTGGAGAGCCAACTCTCTGGGCTTCTACTGACCTGGTCTCCGCCTCACGGGCCTCTTGCGGCCACTGCAGAAACGCACTTTGCTGAACACCCCGAGGACATGCCTCTCGCACAAGGAGCGCCCATCTTTGCTGGGGCTGGAGCGGCGCTTGGAGGCCGACACCCGGTCGCTGTTGGACTCCCTCGCCTGCCGTTTCTGGCGGATCAAGGAGCTGGCTATAGCCGCAGCCATAGCTGCTTAGCGTGCGGGTCCAGGCCCCGGGCTCGGCTGTGCCCTCAGGCTCGCGCACCGCCCGCCGGTGTGAGGGCAGGACCTCGACGGCAGGGAGGGCAGGCGCGGGGAGGCAGTGCTAAGAGTTGAGGCGGCTGCAGAACTGAAAACCTGGCGCCCACAAGGTTAGTCAGAGTCTGGGCAGTGGCGACCAAATGTGTGAAAATCCGGATGTAAACTTCTCAGACCACTGGCAGCAGGAGTGGGGCGGTCCCAGCCCTTCTAACTAACTAGAAGCTTGCACCCCAAACTTGCATCCCAAAACGATCAGCGTCCAAGGGGCAGTAGTGAGTTTGGCCACACTGCGTTCCGGGTACCAAGTGGACTAGAAAGAAGAATGTCCAAAACAACAAGCTGTGCCCAGTTGGAGAGGCGCAAGCGTTGTAAGGTGTCCAAAGTAGATCTACAGTTAACATACATAGAAAACCCGTTTACAAAGCAGCGTCTGGACCTAGGCGGTTTCGAGTGAGTGTTCCCGGCAGAAAAATGTTAAAAAGTGAATAAAATGTTCCTTTAGAAAACAAGCCAGCAACCGCAAGAGAGAAGCGGAGGAAGGCAGCAAATTAACTCCCTGCGGCCCGCTGTTCTGGAGATTAGGAGGTCCGGCCCGGCTAGGTGAGGTCTACGGAATGCATCGCACTGGTGCTTCTCCAAGGGTTGGCAACCCGACTTCTAGAATTTCCAAGCCGCCAAGTGAGAGCAGTTAGCAGGAGCCTGGGAAGGGGCGCGGAGCGGGGGAAGTTGTTTCCAGCTGCGGTGAGCAAGACTCCCCACCAGCAGCGCTGCAAAGAGAGCGAAGGCAAGCGAAGGGGGAGGGAAGGAGGGACTGGAGAAAGGAGGGAGAGGAGGAGGAGGAAGGGAGATCCTCGAGGGCCAAGCACCCCTGGGGAGAAACCCTCGAGAGACGAGCGCCAGGGATCCGTGGGGTCCCGAGAGCGAGCGCTCTCTCCGCTTGCTTTCTGGCACGAGACGGGCACAGTTGGTGATTATTTAGGGATTCCTAAATCTGGAATGACTCAGTAGTTTAAATAAGCCCCCTCAAAAGACAGCGCTGCTGAAGGTGTCCTCTTGAGCTTGGCGCCTACTCGCCTCTAAGTGGAGCTGCCCGCCATGGTCCGTCTGGGGCCGCCGCGCCGAGCCGGTCTCGGCACAGGCTCAGAGCGAGCCCGGGAGCGAGGGAGGGAAGGGGCGCCCCGGCGGGCTCGAGATCAGGTCATCGCCACGCCGCCCTGCGCTCCCCAGGCTCGCGCGCCCCGGTAGTCGGCAGCTCACAGGCAGCAGATCAGATGGGGATTACCCGCCAGACGCGATGCCGATCACTCAGTCCCGCGCGGCCCATCCCGGCCGAGGAAGGAAGTGGCCGGCGCGCTGCGAACACCCGCGCGCCCGCTCAGCTGGGGCGGGGGCTGGCTGCGGGCGACGTCGGCTAGGCGGCTGCGGCTCCGGGCCCGCGCTGCCCACCATGGTCTGGCGCCGGGGGGCGCAGGCGGGGACCCCTAGGCCGCCCGGGGCGACTGCGGGAGGTGGCCAAGCGCACAGCCCGGGCCCTCGGGGCCGGACGCGGACTCAGGGGCCGGAGCCAGAAGGCAGGTGCGGGCAGCCGCCAACTCGCCCAACTTGCTGCGCGGGTGGCCGCTCAGAGGCGCGGTATCCGGGGGCGTCCCCCACCGGCGCGCCGCCACCTCCCCAGGCCCCGGAGGGGGCGCTCAGGGCGGAGTCCCATTCATGGGCTGAGGCTCAGGGCGACGTGCGGAGCCGCACAGGCTCCCCGCCGCTGCCGCTGTCTCCGTCGCACAGCCGACTCACTCGTCTGAGAGCTGAGCTCCGCTGGAAAGTCCAGGCGACCGCCACCGAGACCGCGCGGGTGGGACAGAGAGCCGGTGGCCACGGAAGTTCCCCCAGCACTGCACGGCGACCCCGCGGGAGAGAGCGCGTGTGCGCAGGTGGGGCCGACCTGGGGGCCGGGCTCCCGAGCGCAGGGAAGCGCAGCGCGCTGGGGTCCTCCTCCCCTCCCTCGCGCCCTCTGCTCCCAGACTTCCTTCTCCTCCTTCCCCCAAGTCACCCCTCTCCCCCCTCTCTGTCTCCTGTCTCTCCCCCTTTCTCCTCTCTACGCAATCCTACGTGATTGAGGTTTGGATGAGAAATTCTCAGAGGCTGAGCGAGGGAACTGCAGCTTGGGTCGGCTCTGTCCCATCCCTCCCCCAAGAGAAAACACAACCTTGGGTAGGTTAAAGGACCCTTGATAAGGAAAAAAAAAACAACAAAAAGGCGGGTTGGGGGTGGCCAGAGAGCTTAGAGAACGCCGTCCACCCTCTCTTCAAAAAAATGTAGCATGTGTCATTTTCTGTTTCGGAAAGAAGGTCGAGGGAGCTGAATAAAGTAACAATGGCTTCTTGGGCCCTCACATTGAGCCCCACCTTCAGCTCATTTTGAAACAAGAAAAAGTGGCTTGCTTATATATGGAACCCAGGTTTCCTGATTCTATCTGGAAAAAAACCCAAAGTATCTTCAGTGCCAGAGAGAGAGAATATTGACAGTAAACAGAGGATCCGATTAAACCCAGAACAGAGGTGCTAATGAAGATGGGGGAGGGGAGGGTGACCATGAAGGCTGGGGCAGTTAACCAGTTTTAGGGTAATTAGATCTCCAGGTGTGCTGCTTGTGATGTCTACTGACTCTTATGGAAAACTAAGCCGAGGAGATAATGTCATCCAAGTTTAAATGCAGCATGAAAGATTCCAGCCATATAAGTCTGGGAGTGTCCTTTAGTTATGCCTACAGCGCTTCTTCAACTTGGCTTTAAGTAACTTACCTTCTCCCTCCCCTTCACACTCTCTAAGTAGCCAGGGTAGATCAGAAGGGCATGCCACAGGATTAAAAATGTAGGAGCAGAGACAGGTGTATGTTGTATCACTTTAAAAGGGAAAAGAAATGCAGGCCCTGCAAACTGCAGAAACAGATGGATAGGGAATCAGAAAGGCCCCTAGTAATCCTCTAGATGTAGTGACAACCCTGTAGTTGAGATTCACCTGGGCAATGAAAAGGATAATGAGGTGTGAGGATCATGATATGCTTCCACCTGACTCTAGCACTGAGCACCTAGTCAAGCAGCCTTTCTGTGTCTAGGGACCTAAAGTTCCCAACAGAGCAACAGGACAGTGCACTCTCAGAGTCTGGCAGACAGGGGTTTAGGAGGCAGACAATGACATCAAGAAGAGGAGAACCCTTGGAGAGAGGGGAATCCCAGTTGCCAGCAGGGAGCATAAAATTCCTGTGCAGCAGTTCAGTGTAGTTAAAAGAGGACAAGTGGGCTCATCCCTGGGATTCCATCAATGCAGAGCAAGACAGGTGGGGGAAAAGTGTGTGTGTGTGTGTGTGTGTGTGTGAGAGAGAGAGAGAGAAAGGAGGATATTCTCGAAAAACCACATCATCAGAAGTACATCTGGATGGAGAAAGGAAATGATTTAAAAATCAATTTGTGAAACCATATGGGCACCATCAATTAGAGAAATATCCACATGTCACAAAATAAAATTCTTTTCCTTGGCAACCAGGAGACTCCTTTCATTCCTGAGCATGAAAGACAAAGATAGTAGGGACTGGCTTCAGGGGCGCCTTGCCTGTTGTAATTCCAACACTCAAAGAGAAAAAGGTCAGCTAAGGGCAAGTATCCAGAGAAATTGGCAAGAGGGTGATGTATAATGAGGCATTGAGGAAATCACTGCTAAACTGTGTCTCTCTCTTTTTTTTTTTCATTCTCGAAGAAATGGGGATAATCATTTCCATCCACCTCACAGAACTGAATATGTATGTGTAAGCACTTTCAAAACTGGAAAATGCCGATTGAGTGGAAGAAATGATGATACTGCTTATTGGTTTTTTTTAAAAAAAATAACATAACATGCATCTGATTTACCTGCTTATTAAAATGTAGATTCCTGGTGGTTCCTAAAACCTGCAGCTGAATCTCTGTGAGTAGATCTCGGGAACTTGAATTGTAAATAAATTTTTTAGATGTCAGGGCTTGGGAATTTGATAGATAACACTCAATGTAAATAACAGAAAAGTAAACCCAGACACTCAAAAGGATCTAGCAAAAGGATCCAATAAGGATTTTGAAGCTCTGTCTCACATACTTTGGGCATGTTGGTCAGGAGGGACCATCTCTAGAGAAGTACATCATGCTTGGAAGGGTGAAAGGACAAGGCAGGAGAGGAAGATCATGGATGAGATGGATTTACTCTGACTAGGGCTGTAGGAACTGGTGTGTCAGAGACAATGAGACTGGTCAGGATAGGGCAGGGTTCAAAGCTATTGAACCTCCCTGTAAGTCGCAGGTGACTCCACAGCACATAACAACATCTCCCAAAAAAGAGACCTAAAAAGAGAAGATCTGTTCTTTAAACTTAGAATGTGTGTTGATTTTTTTTGTTAGATTTATGAGAAATGATGATGTTTTGATGATGACGGTGACCAGTGTCACAGCTTAGGATAGAAGGGAATGTTGGACAAAGCGATGAAAAAGCAGAAAACAGTTTCTGTTTGAAATTCTACCCTCCTTCTTGACATGACAACATCAAGGTAGGCATTAAAAGAACAAAACAAAAACAATAAATGCCAGCTTTCTGAGAGTGACATTATTTCTGTCTTCAGATCTCTATTAAAAGAATGTGTTTTTTATTCTATCAGACAAAAAAGACTAGCTTTCCCCCTCACATTACTGGAGCTATTTTCAGAGTGCTTTTGAGCTGTTTAACCCAGTAAGTCATCATCAGCATCATTTGCTTCCTTCTCCCAGTGACACCAAGAAAAAACAAAAGAGAAATATGAGAAATTATCTAGGACTCATGTGTGCGGTTGTTCAGCTAAGAGGATGTTGTCAGATGCTGTCAGGTTGAGTAAGACTCATAATGACCCTGTGAACAACAGATCTGAACCCTGTCCTATCCTATGCCATCCCCATCATCTCTGACACACTCTGAGCCCATTGCCACAGTGACCATGTCAGTCTATCTTGTGGAGGGCTTTCCTTTCTTTGGCTGACTAAGCATGTCGTCCCTCTCCAAGGAATAGCCCCCTCCCCCCAGTAATATGCCTGAAGTATATAAAACAAAGCTTCACCATCTTTGCCTCCAAGGAGTACTCCGACTGCATCTTTTTGGAGATAGATAAATATAAATATATATAAAAATATATATATATATGTTGGTTCTTTTGGCAATTCATGGCATGGTCTTCTCCAACACCACAGCTCAAAGGCATCAATTCTTCTGTCATCCTATTAACTGTCCAGCTCTCATATGCATAGCAAGTGATTAAAAAGACCATGGCCTGAATCAAGCACATCCAAGGGGGCTCTCTTAATAGACTACTATTCAAATATGCACACCAAAAACTAAAGCCAAGGAGGAAGAAACTGAAGATTCCCACCAACTTTTCTAGTCTGAAACTGACCAAACATGCAATGAAGAAGATGCATTAATAATTACTGGTGGCTGGAATGCAAAAGTTGGAATCAGTTAAGCAGCACTATTAAAAGGACTCCCCTGGTAAAAAGAAAGTCACCATTTTCCTGTGTACCACTAAATAAATCATCTCCACAGCTATGGACATATTTCCAGGATCTTTGCATTTGGGGGTCAAGAGCTACACACCTCAGCTGATTCAAATCCACCAGTGGCTCCTTGGGAGAAAGAGGGATAGTCTCCTATTGTGATTCACCACCTTGGAAACTTAACAGAGGGTCTCTATGAGTTGGAACCACTTTGAAGGTGGGAGTTTTCC